ACTTAATTGAAATAGAATTTTTCATCAAAATACTTTATGATGGAGTCTGGTCTTCTCTACAACCCGACCATGAAACAAACAAATCTCCGCGCCGGATGCGAGTCAGCCCTCCAGCCAGGAACGATGACAGGTCGCCGATCTGAAACATTTTAAGATCTCTTATATCTTTTCTCTTCCGAGGATAAGTACAAAGGATTTTCCTTATATCAAAGGGAAGATTGACCGATCGATTGGAATCAACTACAGCTCTGTCAATTTTAAATGGACCCAAGTCTTTCTTTGTTACCAGTCGTTTGATACCCTGGGTGCCAGAAACTTTTCATGCGCGGTTTCCGGTTTCGGTCAAGTCTCGCAGAGGTCAATGAATTTTTAAAAGACAGGTCATACAAGATAAGTCTAAACCAACGCGTGACGCTATGATATGGCTGAGATTTAAGTTGAATAGAACTAGGTTGTGTACGGCGGTCCACTTCGCAAGGAATAAAATAAAATATCAAAAGAGTCGCGAAAACGAACTTTTCCAGTACAAACTTTATGCATGTACGATAGTTTGTTTGTCATTTATATCGCTCTATAAAGGAAGTTTTACAAATGTTACCGCTCGCTGTCCCCTTCATAGAAATCGGAGGAAAGCAAAAATTACCATAGCCAGTATCTGTGACAAAAAAGAAACCTTGTAAAACTTTTCGTTAATCGTCAAGAGATATAAAAGGCCGCCCAAGATCGCGCGCTGTGAGGTTACGCATAATTTTAGCTTTTCGCATAGCGCTAATTTATTACACCCAGGATTTTAGGGTGTACGAGGGGACACGTGACCAGCCGATGCCAGGGCCTTTTCCCGCCCCACCCATTTTTTAAGGGAAAAGCCCTGGGGACGAGGTTGGTATTTGTTTTGCTCGCTTCAGACAAATCCAGCTCCAGCAATTCAGTGTTAAGGGCAGAGTCAATTGCTTTGAAGTGACTGCCGGCAGTTGTCCTCTACTTCACAGCGAGTGAAATGGAAAATTTGCGTACAGAAAGTTATTTCTTATAAAGAACAGAAACTTTCACAGTGCAGTGGAAAACAAAACTATGTAATTATAAGTGAAGAAAACTCTGACTACTTATAGTATTTGAGCAACAGAAAAATGATTCTTTTCTTCTAGAGTAAGTTTACTGGCCTTCTACCGGTTTTACGGCGCACAAAATGGTTCTTTGACTGAAGAGAAGGATAAAGCTGGTTCTACAAAGGGAATACATCTGGGCATGTGAAAAAGTATTTACTAATTTAAAAAAAGAGTGGGTTTTAATTCAGCCCGGCGAAAGAAGGCGAAATCATGCAACCCACAAATAAATCGAATGAACAATCAAAAAAATACTGGCCTCTTTGGAAATGTTCAAAGCTCTTTATTCCACCTCAGACTGACGGAATGATCCGTTTTTCCTTTAACATTGGTTGTTCCGAGTCCAAAGTAATTTTCAAGTGAAGAAAAACAAAAAACCACACAAAAGTAAAAAGGCTTTTCGAGGAGCAAACGTTCACACCTTGTGCATTTCATTCAGTCTTAGTCAGAACTCTCTCAGTGACAAACAAACAAACTGTCGGACACAGTCAACACTAGTCAACACACAGAAAAGCCCGCCTTGAGCCTGCGATAAAGGATGCGCAGAAGCTTGCGCAGAACGTTTTTCCGCCCTGAAGTTTTAGCCCCAGTTAAGAATTTGACCGAGTGAGACTGAACACTAAAATTGGCCTTTCGTTGAAGAAAAAAAATGGCGCCCGATTCGAGTTATTCGGGTATTTGAAATGTGATTATTGTAAATGACTGTACCGAAAGAAAAACTGACTAAATATCATGGCAGCTACTGTAACAAGTTATTCAAGAGTTTGCTCTTCCAAACTTTTACAAGTAAAGTCACCAGGTAAGCTGAAAATTGTTTTATTTTGGTTTACTTGTAGATCTGGTCAGTGTTTACTAAAAGGTGTTATGACACCCTGAAGTCTTAAAATGCTTCACTGATTACTGTAAGCTTAAGTTTAATAATAAAACTGATATGCCTTAATTTGCATTTATGTACATGTGCATACAGTTTCTTAGCTAAACATAACATACTTAGCAACTAACATAACGCTCATTATTATTACTAACAGTTTGATGCAATTTTGTAAGCCCATCATATTTATATGAGAGTCTACTTATGATGGAACTTCACTGCTGAACTTAATTCTTGGTTTTGCCCTGAATGTATTATGAAAGGGATTGTACTTTAACCTTTTCACGTTCTTATATTTATACAATAACAAAAGAGTTTTTAAAGCTGTATGTCACGTACTTCATAGTTACAGAGACTAGTGCACTGCATTTGACCACTACATTGGGCTGTTGTAAAGGAAATTTGACGAACCAGACTTAAGAAGTTTCAAATTAATTAGAGCATACATACACAGTGTATGAGAAGACTAAGAGAGGTGTTGAATGGTAAAATAAGAGAAGCTTAAAGACTTTAAATGTTTAAAAATTCAACACTGCAATAAAAGAGGTGGAAAATCTGAAAATCATGGAAATGGTAACTCTCAAATCAACCTTAAATGTTTATCACAAGTAATTAAGAGATAAGGGGATCACACAGAGAGATTTGAGTATGCAATAATATTTAGTTTAGGTACCATCGGCCACCTCTGACTTAAGGAACTTGCTAGCCTGTTCCAGCCATTCATATAGTAGTGCATGGCATCAGATCGTGGAAAGCGAGTCAATCTATTTTTTTTTTGTCATATTTTTCTCCTACACTCTAGTTATCTGAACACCTGGAACAGGCCAGCAGCTTGCTAACATGTTACCTGGAGCCAATTCAATTTATCATAAGAAAAGAAGGGAGATTAAAATGTCAGCTACAAGTTTGAGAGTCCTTAGACTTGTTTTTTTCGCACAGGGGTTTTTCCTGATGGAGACATGCCAGTTTCTGACCAAGTTCTTGTGGACTTGGAAGTAGAAGAAGGTGTTTCAGAAAATGATCTGACATTAACCTTTTCAAAAAATGCCAAACTCAAATGCTTCCCTTGATGTTCCAAATTTGGTTTGTCTCCAGTTTTAATACACATCCCACAATTTGCAAGGCCATCATGGCTATACCATCCAGGGTTGATGGAATGCACACTATTGTCAACGTACGGCTCAGACCAGTAGTGTGCCCTGGCTTGGCTATGATAGATTAACCCTGTAAGTTTGTACTTTTGTTGTAAGACTTCAAACTCTTGGTCAATATGAGAGTCCCATTTAAGGGGTGCAGCATCTGGTTTAAAAACCTCAAATATGATTAGGTTTGGAATGTGTTGAAGTGTTGTAATCTGAAGAGCAGGCTGGTCACATTTATGGGTATTATTTCCGTTTCATTCATGTAGTTGCATGTGCCAGATACACATGAATATCCTTGAGGTAAAGCATGGCGTTTGAAGTATTTAATCAGACTAATGGAACTTTGTGGATCTGAGGGATCTGTCCGATCTTCAGGGATAACTTCATCTACAATAATTTTAAATGTGCCACTCTGTCTTTCTTTTGATGGAAATATGTGATTACCGAACTTGCAACATTTTCTAGAAACTGACGTAACAAAACTGAAGAATTTGCGTTCCTCCTGAGTCATATAATAATGCAATGAATGGATTATTCCTTCAAGACTACACTGATTTCCCAGTCTATAATAAATACGACCATTACATGTTTCATTCTGCAACCATGACCATAAAATGATCTTACTATCATGAAGTTTATCATTACAATTGAGATTCCATGCACGGTTTAATGCTTGAAATGCTTTGGTCAGCTGTTTATTCATTGGAGAAGATGTAAGAAATTCTGGGTGTCTATTGAAAATTTCTGACATTACAACCAATAAAGCATCTTGATGGCAGGAGTTTGCAACATTGTTTGAGCCATTCACATAGGAGCCAAACATTAAAGAAACAGGTTTCTCTCCAGAACTACTTGAAATGTTCTTAAAAAGGGATTTCCTGGCAGCAACATCCTTTTTCCCCGAACACTTGTCTGCGTTACAAATAACAAGTGGCCTTCTGCACTTGGAACAGTGAAGAACACGCTTGTGTGGTTTATGTTGCTTACTTTGTAATTTGCTATGCTTTTCCTTTGCAACTTGAATTTCAATATTCTCAGGACTAAACTGTGAAAGGTGAGGAATGGTAGAGGAGCTATTTAAAGACTGTATTTCAACTGTCATTTTGATTTTCTCAGAATGTTCTTTAGCCTTTCTCTCAATCTCCCTCAACTTGGGATGAAGGGTTGTTGGTGGCGCAGTTAAGATCCAATAATGTTGGTGTACACCTTCAAGTAGTTCATTAATAAAACTGTCATTTCGCCTCACAGTAGCAATTTTTGTTGTTTTTGGTGTCCAGGTAACAAAATGACACCAGTCACTGTTTGTTGCTTTCATGTTCAACTGCATTTGCATATAGTAGCAAGCTGGAATTTGTTTATAGTGTGAGGGATAGCCTCCTTTAAATGGACACTTGTATTCAACAATACCCCTTCCACTTACTCCATGCATACCCGTACCATTAATGATAACAATATCATCTGGTGAACAACCAAACATATCTTGATTGCAATGTTTGATTGTCCATAATCCTGTCTCATAAACTGTGTAATCAATACATGAATCATTCAAGAATTGCAGGTAGGTGACCCGAGCACAGTCTTCGCAAACAGTTCCCCACTCCATGGCTAATTTGTTGATGAAATCCTGGCTGTCATCAATACTTTCGCCTTGAACTGCAGAGTTCCAATAATCTTGAGCCTGTGTAAGGCCAAAGTGCCCAGTAATAACCCCCGCTTTACTTGCATTTAGTTTGTTCTTCCTTGCCTCTTTCCAAGCCTCTGACCTCTGTTTTAAATATGGATGTATATCTGTTACGTCAGCTGGCAACTCATCTTTGAGGTGCTGATACTTGCTGTTCTTTTTTAGGTCATGAGTTTTGAGCAAGGAAACCAGTGCGGGTAAATTTATGCCTTTGGTGTCAGTAGCACATTTATTGGAGGTATCCTGGTCCTTGTGTTAGAACATTGTGCAGCTAAATGGCCCTTTATTCCACATTTGTAGCATTCCTGCTTGGCAAGCCATTCCGGTTCTGGTGGATTAGTACAATTCTTCGCCCAGTGTCCTAACATGTTACATCTCCTACATAAATCTGTTGGGGCAGCCTCTTTTGGTGATTCATTCTTTATTGCTGTTCTTGTTAGTTTAGTTCTTATTGCAGCAGTGTGGCCAGATAATGGAGATAAATCCTCTTTCATTAAATGATATACACACCTTCGCTTAACAAACTTTCTTAAATATAATTCCATGGCTTCTTCAGTGGCATTACTTCCTCCACAGATAAGATTACACAAAGAAGACCACCAACAATATAAGTGTTTGTCTAGAAGAAGTTGTGTCCATGCAGTGTTGTATGTGTCCTTATGGAAGCTTTTAAGGTTAAAGTATTCTGATTTAAGTTTCTGGTCCAGAAGCATGTTGAAATTCATTACATAAGAACGATTCACTGAATCTGAAAGGGAGTCAAGTACTAAATGTGTTGAGTTTATTACCGTTGTAGGCAAAGATTGCTCAATGATGGTAAGAATTTCCAGGCACTGGCATTCAAGTTTTTTCTTTTGATCTTCACTATAGCTAGGCAAAGCTGGACATTTTTCTCCTACCAAGATTTCTTCACAATTAGCTTGATTTTGCGATATCATTTGCTTAATAGTGCATACAGTATTAGCACGTTCTACTGTCTTACCCTTTCTATTTTGATTTTTCATTAGGTGAAGGGGCTGTGGAGAAACTGCAGGACCTTCATAAGAACTAGAAGAACCATCTAGAAGACCAAGTTCCTGAGTTATGCCAAAATCAATGTCAAGGGTTTGTCGAATTTCCATATATCGTTGAACAGTTGGTGACACTTCACGGCCTCTGACAAGTGAAAAATAATTTTCAACATCATCTTGATATAGGCTTTTTGGGACAATGTTGATATGAGGAAAGTTTATCTTCACAAAACCAATTAAAGCAATTGTACCGCGAATCAAGACAAGGAAATCATTATATGTTTTCACAGGAATAAACTGCTTCCTCACTGCCTTTTTTTCATCCTTGCTAGAATATGATTTCACCTTTTCCTCAGTCTCATCATGCCACCTTTTAAAAAACAGTAGTACAGACAGGAGCTCTTGCATGTAGTTTGGATGAAGAGAAACTGAATTCATAATTCTGAAGAGCCGGTCACACATTCTTATGTATTTGCGAGTGAATGAAGTTTCATCTTTAGTGTATGGAAAACATGGATCTTCCATTGCCTTAGCCGTTGGTTCTGAAAGTACCTCTCGTGCTAACATAACTTTCATCTTACTTTTAGAATCAATAAATACATGTTTGCTTTTAAGAAGACTGTTTTCTTGTTTAGCAACAGCAGCAACATGATCCCAATGTACAGTTCTTCCCTGGTATGTTAAGTTATAATTTGGGTTGTTCATGAAGTTTCTTAGCTTCTTAATCGTGTGAGGGTAGTCTGATATCCAAAAGATATCCCCTCCAGTAACTTCATTCTGTCCTACCCATGGTGTTTTTTTTGATGATGTCCTAAAAAATTTTGAATTCCATGGACCTCCGTCACAAACCCCATATACCACCTTTATATTGCTGTTTGAAACTTTATCTAGTGCTTTTATGAGGGGCCATATCATGTGTTTGTTTAGTTTTTCAGCGGTGACACTGTAAACTGGGAAAGAAGCAACTGGCCATGTAAAATCTCCCTCAAGACTGGTTAAGAAGAATTGACAAATTTGGCGTGCAGTCTTAGGTTTAGGAACTCTAGTTGAATCATTTTCCGAGTCAGAGTCGGCATAATGTGTGTCATCAGATTCATCATCACTTGTGTAGTAGTTTTCATTTTCCTCCTCAAAGAGTGACTGATCTAAAGGCTGACTGGTCTCATTCAATTCTATGTCCATTTCTAGCTCAGTTGGTAGAGTAAAATCTTCAAAACCAATAAGCTGGCCAGTTCGTCTACACAGCTTTACTCCACTACGAATGTCAATTTCATCCCAGTGTAGACCAAACAAATTGCAGATTCCACGCTGCCTTATTTCATTCCAACACCTTTCTAATTGTGCCATATCAACTGGATCAGCTGAGGTATTCATATTTCTATATTCCTGCACAAGACGCCAAGAAGGGAGGGGTAACCACTTTCGAACAGCCTCATAACCCTTTTGTTTACATTTAACTGAAAGACTTATAGCAAGCTTTATTGTGAGTGGATCCCAATGCATATTTTTTGGATTTGAGGGACGTTTTTGACTCTCATCAGACTCATTGTTGGAAGATGGTTGATGCAGTTTAAGTTGTGACAAAGCATCCAGCATAAAAGAATAAAGAATAGTTCCCTGTTTCAGAACTTTGTTTGCCACAGCAAAGTTTACCATATCTGACAGTTCATCAAAAGTTGGATGGAAATTAGGAATGCTTAATTTCTGTTTTTGTTTCTTTAACATTATCCTTAGGGCTTTGTTTTGACTGGACAATTTTCGGACTTCATTACTCAGATTCCGGGCTCGATCAAGAAGTTGTGAAGGAGATAGGGCAGAAAGTTTAACTTTGCTATCAGATTTTGTTGCTCTCTCTGCAGTTCCTGGGGTTAGTTCCTTGTACCTTTTTAAAGAATTTTCCAACATTTTCTGACATACTTCGCAGCGCCCAGACCTACTTCTCTCTTTCACCAAGAATTGGCACTCCAGACGAGTGACAAGGCTTCCTCCTTCCCACTTAACATTAGCTTTCCTTATTGTTTCATTAATATTTATTGTAGAGTTTCCTTTCTTTACAGGGATTACCCACTGGGACTCGACCCATATCTGTGGTGGTTATGGGGACCCTACCTTTTGTTTTGCCCAACTTAAAATGTTGCTGTCATGAACTCCACAACAGATTTTTTTACTTTGAAGTTTCTTTAAAATTGTGTAAAGTTCAGTGGAAACATTTGCAATATTTTGATCCTCAACACTACCAAGTGAGCCTCCAATGTTTACTTTTGAATTGAACATATATGCCTGGTAGCAAATCTCATTATCAGGAAGAAATACATGAAGCAGTCTTTCATTAAGATTTTGAGAATCACCCCTTTGTGGCGAGAACTGAAATTTAAAAGAGGTAGGCTGCTCAATAGAAATACTCCAACCGTTCATCTCTGACAAAAACTTAGAGACCATTACTTCATACACTTCTCTCATGAAAGGACTTGTGGAAAATGAACACTTTAATTCAGAAGGGGGTTTAATTATTCGAGATGGGGAAACTGATCTTGAGCAGTTTTTGCAGATAAAACAATTAAGTAAGAGTGGAGTTGAAAAAGGAACTCCCTGTGAGATTAAGTTTGATGTTGACAAACTGTCACATGGAACCCAGCACTGTTTATCCAATATGCTAATGACATGTTTAGTGCAATTGTTTTGGTTGTACAAGACCTTTGACTGATGACAAATGCTGCAGGCTAATTGAGTCAGTTGCTTTGGCATTTGAGGTTCTGTTATACTTGAAAAATCATGAATTCTGTTTTCTAATTCAAAATGATCATTGCAGACATAAAGAATCCATGGTTCATTTACTGTCTCAGGGTGTATTTCATATCTCCCCTGTAATTCAGTTACTGAATGCATGCCAGCTCCATTTTGACACCCACTAATGCAACAATATTTCCCCCCACCAAACCGAGTAGGACATTTGTTTTCCTTGTCATCTGTAACTGTCTTCTTATTGGCAGGGCCATTTGCACGAATATCATATGTTTCCTTCTCTTTTATCAAAATGGTCAGTTTAGATTCCAAAGTTTCTGCACGTGTTAGCAAAAATTTTCGCAAGGATCTTATTGCATTATTGCTTAGTTCCCCTGATGTTACTGAACTCAATCTCTCAACGAACTTTTCACACTTTTGTAAAAGGGCATTGATATCTTTTTCTTGAATAAACTTTTTTCTATCACAAGCAAGAGACAAAAATTCATATTCAAACCCTTCAATTTCTTCTGACATTCCCTGTAAACGTTCACACTCCTTCTTTGCCCAGCAATCTGACCCACTGCAGTCATCACATATGGTTGCAGGAAAAAGCTTCAAATCATGATAAGTCATTGCATAGTTTTCAATTGCCTTTAACCTAGATTTGTAAAGTATGGAAGGGAGATAGCCTACACCTGGATGTAATTCGTTTCCCAAATTTTCTAGTTCTCTTGCAAAAACATGCAATCCAGGTAGCTCTATTTTCATGGTTAGGTATTTTTCCTTTGTTGGTTGCTCTTTGAATGCTAGCCCTTCATAATGCAAAATTTTATCATCCAATAATGTTCTTATAGACTGAAATTCTTTTTCTTTTAAAATATTTGTATCAAGTGTTGTGTGTTTTATCATTTGAAAGTCTTACAGCGAAAGGAACGTTGATACCATCCTCATTTTACGGCGTTCTTCCTTCGTTTCATTTTCTGTTTATAATAGCGACCATTTTGTTTACCGTCAATTTTCAGTCCCTCTTCAGATGGTTTCAAGTTCATTAATGCATCATGGAGACTATCTTTGTAAATACACGACGATCGCTTTTCCGTTTGGTTGTCTGCGTCACTTCTATCTTTCTCCCTGATTGAGATACGCTCGAATCTCAATTTGTATCCCCTTTTTAACCTCCGTGGCAATGAAGTGTAATAAATCCTGCAGTTTTCAACGTGAAGTAGTTTCCTGATCAAGTGATGACAATTCCAAGGGCGACCGCGTGCTATTTTACCACAGGCATTCGCATTTGCTGTAATTCGAATTGCAATCACTGGAGGCTCTATTAACCTGGCCGACTGGTCTTTCATTCCAGTCTTGATCTCATTAGACGAAAGCGAAAACAGATGTCGAAAGGTGCTGTTGAAGGCCAATCTCCAGGTCAAGTGGCTGCTGACTGAGCGAAAGCAGTTTACCGCCTGCTGGTAAAAGACCTCATAGGTCGCATTCGCATCAGCTGAATCCTCTACAGATTCAACTGGTGACTCCACGGAAACAAGGCTCTTAATTTCCGGTTTAGCATTCAACAAACACGCTAAAATCACAAAGACAATAATCCGAATTGAATTCATATTTGCCAGTCTTTACCATAGACAAAACATAGGCACGTTAAACGTGCATGAGCTATTTTGAATGCTTCAGTGTAACTTTAATGCTTCGGTGTAACCTTACCAAGAGTGATGAATCTACCTCTTTCATACTAAATGTAGATTGGGTTTTTGTGCGAAATTACGTATTGCAGTACATAAATGAAAACGCGAAACGCTCAGCTGAGTCGATCCTCAAGCTATATATTCACTTTCCTCTGTCTTTCCCTGTTACATCTGGTGCAAGTTAAACAAATCGTTAAAGTGAAATAAATTTCTACTCACCAAACGTTGATTAGAAGGAAAACTCTAAGGTTTCCTCGGAGTTTCTTAAGCCAAAATGTGACTCATCGAATACTGAATAGTCACGAAATACCAGGATTTTTATCATTGTGGTAGATGGTTGCATCATCATAATTCACGAGGTTTTCACGTGCGATTCTACTCAGTGAAACAGTCTTTAACTCCGACAACCTATTTCTTCATGTTTTAAAAGCTATTGCTTCTCAAAAGACGAGAGCCTTTTTAAAGGCATTGATTACAAAACGAAACAGGTCTTCATACGTCCAAGTTACTATTTATCATTGTGAAAAGCCAATCACGCTGCATGAGATGTACAGTCACAGAGCTGGCACGTGAAAGTGTTGGACTTTGCCCCCTTTCGTGGTTCGTACGTGAGGGAATTCGAGTTATCACACAGTAAACTAGTAAACAGAATTATAAAAATAACTCACGCACACAATTTGCACTTGAAGATGTTGGTCTTTCGCCCTTTTACAATTTGTACGTTAAAAAAGAGGCAAATTGTTTAAAACAAAATTTTCTCAAACGATTTTAAGAAATCACCTCGGCTTCATTATAACATCTGCAATTAAATTATGTTTCATGCAACGTCAAGGTTGATAACCTAACATTTATTAACATTTGTGAAACAGTCTTTAACTCCGACAACTTATTTCGTCATGTTTTAAAAGCCATTGCTTCTTAAAAGACAAGAGCCTATTTTAAGGTATTGGTTACTAAACGAAACAGGTCTTCATACGTCCAAGTTACTATTATTATTGTAAAAAGCCAATCTGCATGAGATGTACAGTCACACAGCTGGCACGTGAAAGTGTTGGACTTTGCCCCCTTTCGTGGTTCGTACGTGAGGGAATTCGAGTTATCACACAGTAATCTAGTAAACAGAATTATAAAAATAACTCATGCACACAATTTGCATGCGAAGATGTTGGTCTTTGGCCCTTTCACAATTCGTACGTAAAAAAGAGGCAAATTGTTTTACTACAAAATTTTCTCAAACGATTTCAAGAAATCACCTCGGCTTTATTACAACATCTGCAATTAAATTATGTTTCATGCAACGTCAAGGTTGATAGCCTAACATTTATTAACTTCCAAGAAAATTATCAAACTGCCGAAATATATTTCTACTTATATCATGTTACTCCACTCATTATAACAGTATCTAATTATTGTGTCAACTAGCTTCTTCAAATTTTATTCCCTAACGCTACTGTTTCTACTTAAGTTACGCATCTTTACTAAATAGAACTAAAAAGGTCGGTTGAACTTTGTAAGCGAGAGAATAATATTTTGAAAGCTTGTTTACAGGATTAACAATACTCGATACAGCTTTCAAAAAAATAAGTTGCCTTTTAAACTTATAAAACCACATTTTATAGGGCGCATTCTTTCGAATTAAAGTCTATATCTAAATATCAATTATTGCTTCATTGGAAGAGATATGATCTTTTATACTCTACCCAGTTGTAGCAGGTGAAACAGAACTCATACTGACGTGCGTTGTACCGATAGCCGAATTAGGTCAGAAATACCTCAAAGCAGCATCCAAACTTAAATATGAACCCTTAAACAGCTGCATCACTGTTCACAGCGTTTGAATCATGAAGATATTTTATGTAATGCTTCCAAACACCTGTCAGTCATAATAAAAGACGAAAAAATTGTGAAGGATCAAGATGGCGGTCTCAAAG